GTAACAAAAAAAAAAAAAAAAAGTCAGAATAAAAATTATAGATTGTTTAATTTCAAATTCATATAGTAGAAACATAGGACTTCTTTATATGTAGCTCAATTTTAAATATATGGAATTATTCTTTTTGATGGAACTGGAACAATGTAAATGGAAATAGAAAGGAGCAAACCTGATGTGACTAATAGAGAAAATGAGTAGGGCTTTCCTTTATAGCCTTTGAGGGAGAAAGAAGAATAGATAGAGATATTTCATATGGTTGTGAAGATGTGACAATCACAGTATGGTTGTGTTGTGGAGAACACTGGGCAAAAGTGGTGGTGATACTCAGTGTTTACTGAATCTCAATCATTAGAAGGTAGGAAGGGATAAGGGATACTGTTTGGCTTGAAGAGAAAGCTGAGCTCAGTTCTTATCATTTAAGATTTCTGATTTCTGCTTGATAGCCTAGGGAAATTTTTGTTCATTTATTTCTTTTAAGGTAATACAGTGACAGAGCAGCCAACTCATTAAAGATTAAATTGTTTAAAGAAAATTTAAAAGCAAGGCAACCATATCTGGCTAATGTTCATGCACTGAGACAATTGCATTGTCAGATATTTCCATGCACTGTGGGAACTCAGAATAATAGCACCTGCACACCTCAAGGTCTGAGGGCACTTCTCAAAGAGCGTAACATCTGAGCAGAACTGTGAGGAATGAGTAGAACTTAGCTTGGTGAGGAAGGTGGGAAATAATATGATCTAAGTTAGATATGCATAAAACAGCATCACATTTGATTACGGTAAGCTTTTTTCTTTTGATGGAGCTAAAATGTACGCAGATGATGACAGTGTAGTCATTGGGGAGGGGCTGGAGAATGAGCAGAGAAGAAGATCTTGAAAAGGAAACAATGCTGCTTCTCTTTCTTTCTAGATATTTATTCAGTGATCATTTGCTCAGTGAAGAGCAATATGTGAGGCTCACTGTAAGTTCCATGACCAGGGAACCCTAAGATGACCAACACAAGTTATCGTTCTTTAAAGAGCTCATAATCTCATGAAGGTCACTTTGGAAACTTGGGATCCTGAATCTTGCCTTGATCAGCACAGTTGAAATTACTCTACTATGGGATTTTTTTTTTCTTTTTAGTTGCTTATGAGCCTCCTATAGAGTTATAAAGTCACACCACCAAGATTTAAAAGTTTGGAACAACAGTAATTGTTTTAAACAGGGGAGGTGGATTATAGTAATGTTTTAGTTCTACTTAACTCTATTGTACAAAGTTTCCTTGAAGTATTATATTGCATATATAGTAAGAAAAATACTATTTTGTCACAAGCCTGAAAGTTAATGAACTTTTAATTGAAGAGGGACATATGATCTCTCATCAAAGTGGGCCAGTACTGTAGCCCAGAAGCCTTTTTAAAAATTATTCTATTTTTCTCTGTCTACTAATTCTCAAATGACTGTTTTATCTCTTCATCATCTTCTTTTACCTGTTTACAATGGCTTCATCATTTCTCCACAGAAAAGATGGCATTATCTCCTGCTTCATAGGGACAATTAAGCATGATTTTTCAACTTTCTGCTTTCACACAATTTATGTATTTATAAATTCACACTCACCTTCTCTCTCTAGACCCAGAAGAATGTATTTTCCTTCTCAGATGAGATTTTCCGCCTATTCTTTGTTCTCTCTTTCCTTCAAGGCTTTGCATTGTTGTCTGGATTTTGGTTTTTAAAGTAATTTTATGTGGTTATAAATAGTAACATATGACCGTTAGAGAAAAAGTAGAAATTGAATAAAGTTTGATAAAGAAAATCTGGATCATCACTTTAGACAAAGTTTCTAATATTATAAATTAATTGAGATCAATCAATATGTACAGATTTAAGAGCATAACACACAACATAATACTGAGCATTTTTCTTGTCATTAAAAATCCTTCGCAACACAAAATATAATTTTATTAGACTATTATTTATTGTTTCATGATAGAAAATAGTTTGACATTTTTGCTATACTTGAGAATCGTGTATAATTTTTCATATTTTTAACCAAATTGTACTGAACATTCTTCCATGTACTATATTTTGTTCATCTGGTAGTTTCCTTAGAACAGGTTCCCAGAAACAGTTAGGTTAAGTGGTTAAGAAAGATTAATTCTTTTTCTCAGGAGTTCTTTCTGTTGCAGGGATAGATTAATTACTAGGAGAATCAGTTGTTGAGAAGTGAGTCACAGTGAGTCAAAGCTCTGTTTTCTAGAAAGCTTGTTCCAGTTTACATCCCTGCCAATAATATGAGTATATAGTTTTTTTATACTGTATTAAAGATTGTTCAAGTAAAATGTCTCCTTAATAGGTGCAATGGTTATTTTATTGTTTTAATATTATTTGTAATAGTTTACTTTCTTCACATTTATTGCCTAGTTATATGGTTTCTTTGTAAATTATCTCATTAATGTCTTTTAATCCATCCTACTCTTTTCAAGTCATTTTATGCATTCTTTGTGTACTCTTCATATATTTCCATGGTTTCATTTTTAATTGAGCGTACATGGAGAAGATTCGAATACATAGACAAGTTTATTAGTGTTTTAACTTTTGGTTCTGCTGTGATCTGAATATGGTTTGTCCCCTTGACACTCATGTTGGCATTTCACTGCCAATGTGGCACTGTTGGGAAGTGAGAGCATTAAAAGGTCATTAGGTGGTTAAGAGGGATTAATGCTTTTTCTTAGGAGTTCTTACTGTCCCAAGGATGGATCAGTTCCTAGGAGAACCAGTTGTTATGAAGTGAAGCTGCCTCTGGTGTTTTTCTCTCACATGTACTCACTTGCCCTCCTGGATTATGAAGGAGCATGTGGCCTACACTAGTGCCTGAAGGCTGCCTGGTCTTGGATGTACCAGCCTCCAGAATCTTGAGCTGAATAAAGCTCTTCTTTGTTAATTACTCAGTCTACAGAATTCTGTCACAGCAGCAGAAAATAGATTAGGACAATTACTTTTGTGAAAGTTTTGATGATACTTTCTCATTGAAAATATATTTTTTCTTCCAATTATCTTGTAATTTAATGTTCTTATCTAATTATTTTGATAATTCAAAAATTTTTGTTGTTGCTTATAGCCCAAGGTGAAGATTTGGTTCCCTCACTCTCCTAAGTGTTACCTATTATCGTACCATCACTTATTAAATGCTTTCTTTCCTATTCCCTTGTGATATCTTACTTCTAGGTTGTTAAGTTATATTGATATGTATATCAAATCTTATGCCAACTTTATTTAAGTTTAATTTTTCATAGTTTGATTATTGCATGCCTGGCTATGAGTCTTTTTGTACTTACTGTGCTTGGTATTCACTGAAACTCCTGTATCTTTTGATTTTTTTTATTATTAAATTTAATAAAGAAGTTCAGGTAATATTTCTTTAAAATTGTATACTTCTTACATTTTCTTCTATTGGAATTCTGGTTACGTATTTGACCATTTGATAAAGGCCATTGGAGTTCTGTACATTTAAAAAAATATATTTTCTTCTTCGTGCTTTAGTTTGGATGATTTCTGTTTGTGTAGCTTCAAAATTATCTAATATTTTTTCTCTTTCAGTTTTCGTCAGATAGAGCAGAAGCTATAGTTTGATGTTTTTTACAGTTAATATAATTTCTTTG